CTCGAACCGCGGTCGACTACGTGGGAGTCCAGCGACATAGCCATTACGCTAACTGCTGGTCCCAAGAATTCTTTTAAAAAATTGGAAAAAAAAAAAAACTCTTTGTATATTCTAAAGCAGAATGCAAAGCTCATGTATAACATGATCCAAATTTTGGGATCAGAAGGTGGCATGGCAGTTAAAGACACTGGATTCACACATGGCTGACTGTGGTTCGAGTCCTGGGTCTGGCGGCTTGCTTTCTCCCTTCTCTTTTCTCTCTCTGGTCAAATTAAAAAATAATAATAATAAGTGGAATTAATTAAATAATTCTTTTTAAAAAGATCCAAATTTTACTTTAAAATACCTATTTATAGACAAATGGACCACTTACTATTAAGCCTGATACAGTGTATTTTCAATACAACTGGACTTGTACTGAGTTTCTTTTCAGTTGGTACTTCTAAGGGCTTTTAATATAAATTTATTACTAAATTCATTCTGATTTAAGGTACATGTAGCCAGACAAACACTGCTGATTTTAAAAATAAAGAAAGAATGTTAAATAGATTAAATTCTTTCTTTAAAGAAAGAATGTTAAATAGATTAAATGATAGAAGGTATAATATCATTATTTCCATTAAAGTTAAAATACTTTTGGTTAAAAAAACACAAACCTGTGTGTGTGTGTGTGTGTGTGTGTGTGTGTGTGTGTATGTATGTTTGTGTATGATAAAATAAGTAGATAGTTAATTCTGGCTAAGAAAAGTAAACCAAAAGGTTAACAGCCAGTATTTCTGGGCAGTGGGCCTTAAGATGATTTTTATTACCTATACATTGATGTACCCCAAAATTTCTATTACGAATATTGTTGTTAGAACTAGTAAAACTCTTTAAAGGAGTGTGGTAAAAGAAGCACTCTCAAATGCTGTTTGACATGCAAAATAGTACAAAATTTCTTGAAAAATAATTCATTAATCTATAAAGAGACTTAAAGTTCCAGCTCTCTTGCGGCCTCACTTCCGAGATGAGGAAGAAAAGAAGGAACAACGGCTGTGCCAAAAAGGGCCGTGGCCCTATGCAGCCTATTCGCTGCACGAACTGCGCCAGATGTGTGCCCAAGGACAAGGCTATTAAAAAGTTTGTCATCCGAAACATAGTAGAGGCCGCAGCCGTCAGGGACATCTCCGAAGCAAGTGTCTTAGATGCCTATGTGCTCCCCAAGCTGTATGTGATGCTACATTACTGTGTGAGTTACGCCATTCATTGCGAGGTAGTCAGGAACCGATCTTGTGAAGCTCGCAAGGACCGAACACCCCCACCCCGATTTAGACCTGCAGGTGCTGCCCCTCGCCCTCCACCAAAGCCCATGTAAGGAGCCGAGTCTTTAAGGACTGAAGAACTGTCTGTCCTCTGGGGGAAAAAATAAAATGCCGATTATACATTAAAAAAAAGAGAGACTTAAAGTTCCACATCTTTTTTAACTCCAAAGCTGCAGTTTGGGAATATACTTTAGGAAATAATGAAAAATTCAAAAGATTTATAGTTAGAAACGTCCATCGGAACATAATAAAGAAAATGATGGCCGTTCCCGGCCTGGCCGGCGCCGCCCCCACTCCGGGGGGCTCCCTGCCCCTCCCTGCCCCTCCCTACCTCTCTGGCCCGGGATGGCACGGAGGCGGAAAACAAGGTTGAAGAACTTGCAACTTAAGAAGATGATAGTTACCAGCCCTGCATTACCTCAGGGGAAAACAAGAACTACTCTGCCATTTTTAAGGAAGCCAGATACCCAAGGACAACTCACACTGCTGACCCCCACAACACCATTCCTGGTAACTACAAGATGACTGCTGTGCCGCATCAGCTGATCACCCCTGTGTACCAGAACTGCTTTCCTGAAACTGCATTCCTTGGAGACTTACCTACACTTGTGGATCTGCCGGAGACCCTTCCTTATCCAACCCTGAGTGGAGTTTATGCTCCCTATTACCAAAAACTTTATGAGCTGATGGTTGGAACTTGTGGCCTCTCTCCCTTTACTTGTATGTATCACTTTTTCAGTAACTCTTCTGGAAGACAACTGTATATAGCAGGGATATTGTAATGGGAGAGTGAGACAAGGCAGTCGAATACCAGGAAAAATAAAAAAAAAATAAAAAAAAAGAGGAAGAGGAAAAAAAAACATATATATGTGCATAAGCAAGAAAGTAGAAGTGGAATATTATTGATGATAACATGCTTGATTGGGTCACTGTGCAGTCTATTCTAGATGGGAAATTACATTTAGTACGCTGTGATGATGCTCAGGGAATGAATATTAGGTTAAAAAAAAAACGAAAACAAACAAAAAAAAATGGTAAAACTATTCGTACCATTAAAAAAAAAAAATGGATATTTGATGGCTGCAGTGAGCGGTATGGGCCCAGTTGGGTTCTACTTTATAGTATGCTCTTTTTACCCAATGGGGTTTAGGCCTAAAGTCAGACTTGAGTTCATGTAGAGGCATGTGTCAGCTGTGATAACTATTGGAGAGACTTAGACTAATTAAGATCACTGACAGATCATTTGGGGAGGGGTGAGGCACGGAGGGCAATCGGGGATGACAGGGACAATGTGGGAGGAGGATGGGTCATAACAGAGGGAGGGGGATGGGGAATCTAGGATGGTAAAACAAAAGGCAAGGTATGCAGGACACAAGAATTGGGAAATTATTTGCTGAGAACATATATGTTGACGTGCTTGATTGAGCCAACGCACAGTATATATTGGATGGAAAATTCATTTGAGTGTTGCGATGGGAAAAAAAAAATTATAATAAAAAAAAAACTAAAAAAAAAAAAGAGAAGAGGATAGAGAAAGATAGCAAGTGAACAATAGAGGGGATGTTAGTGAGAAACAGATATGGTTTATTATCTGTTGAAGATGACGTGTATAGTATTCTCAACTGGACTGGTCTGGGAAGTATTTCATGATGGGTGAAGTCTTTTAACAAGCAAAATGAGAAATAGTGATTGACTGTTTTAAAAAATTATAATAATAATAATTATTGGGAAATGCATGGAAAAGACTTTGAATGATAAAGCGGGGAGATCGATGCCTCTGTATTGACTGACATGCATGGCATTCCCTTTTGAAAAAGCAATGGAAGTCAATGTAAAGTTATATGTAATCCAATGTAATAAAAAAAATAAAAAAAAAAAGAAACACATGCATTTATTTAAACAGAGGCCAGAAGGTGGTATGATGGTTGAGGGCACTTGACTCCCACACGGTCAACCACGGTTCAAGTCCCAGACCTGGCGACTTGCTTTCTCACTTTCTCTCTCTCTCTGGTCATATGAAAATAAATAAATAAACAAATAAATAAAGTTAAATAAAAATTCTCAGGGTCGGCAGGTGGCATGGTGGTTAAGGGTGCTAGACTTACATATGGCCAACCATGGTTTGAGTCCTGGACTCGGTGGCTTGCTTTCTCACTTTCTTTCTCCCTCTCTCTTTCTTGCTCTGTCCCTCTCTAGTCAAATTAAAATGAAATAAACAAATAATAAAGTTAAATAATTCTTTAAAAAAACTATTTTTAAAAAGTTCAATGAAAATTCTTTAAAAAAAAGAGAAAAATAAAAAAGAAAACAATAAACACACAGGCAAACCAACAAAGCCAAGCCAAATGTCCCCAAATGTTAAAAAATAAGTATTATAGATCATGCAATAGAATTAGTGTATATTATGATCATTTACTGTATTATGGGAAAATGCCAATGCTATGTTAAATGTAAAAGGGATTACAGAATTCCACAAAGAATATGCTTAGCTTTTTTTTTTAAAAAAAGTAATTTTTTATAATTATTTTATTTAATTTTATTTATATTATTAATTTCTAGTTTTGATCAGAGAGAGGCAGAGAGAGAGAGACAAAGTGAGAAAGCAAGCCACCAGGTCCAAGACTCGAACCGTAGTCGGCCATGTGGGAGTCCAGTGCCTTTAACCACCACACCACTTTGTGGCCCCTATGCTTAGCTTTTTTAAAAGTCTAAGAAAAAACTGAAAATACTTCAAAATATTAACATTGCTATCCTTGAATATTTTCTCCTTCCTTTCATACTTCTCTATACCTCCCACATATTCATGTATGCTCTTAAAAGAAAAACTGTGTGTGTCTGTACGTATGTTCTCCTTTGAAAAGGAAAATGGGGTAAGCCAGGTGGCATGGTAGTTAAGGCAGCTGGATCTCACATGAATAACTACATGGTTCAAGTCCCAGATCTGGCAGCTTGAAAAACATGCCAGGTGTGTGTGAGTGCATGCCCCAAATCCCAATAGTAAAATAGAAAAGTGGGGGGGTGGGGGTGCCGTGGGGTGGGTGATTTCTCACTTTCTGTTTCTCTAGTGAGCACAAGGGCCCTATAGCAAAAATCTCCAAAAATACATTTTTTAAAATCTTAAATTCTGGCCCCAACATTAAAAAATGCACCAGACATGTGTGCAGACCCCAAATTCCAACAAGATGGAGACTTGGAGAAGGTACTACAGCATGACCGTACCCCACTGGTGGGTGCTTTCTCCCTCTTCTCTGTCTCTCTATCTCTTTCTGCCCAGTTTGGGTACCCTCTGGCAAAATAAGTAAAGACAAACAAAGGCAGCCTCCTGGGAGGATAAAAGTGAAGGTTCAAAAACAAGACTGTTTGGGCTGGCAGGTGGCAAAGTGGTTAAGGTGCTGAATTCCCATACGGCCGACTTTCGTGTGAGTCCTGAACCTGGAGACTTGCTTTCTCATCCCTCCTCACCTCGTCAAATTAAAAAGTAATAATGATAAATTAAATTAAAAATTCTTGAAAAGAAAACAAAATCAAGGCTGTTTAAAATAATTTCCTGGACACTCACTCATGTTATAAACGGAAGTTACCCATTTCCAGAGAAAAGAAAAAAAAAGACTTTAAGAGAATAGGAAGCAAGTCTTTAGAATCTAAACCAACTATAGTCTTCAGCGCCTAGAGATCTTAACGATGTGGAAGATGGGAATAGAAGTGGAGAAGGATTTATATGTCTCTGACCCTAAAACAAACACTACTAGTCATTGTTCACAGTCCCTTATCTGAAGCCCTTGGGCCGGATGTGTTTCGGGATTCAGAATTTTCCCAGACTTTAGAAACATGACTTGTATTTCATATCACACACCATCCTCCATAGGATATGGAGCTGTGCCCTCAAACACACACTGGTATTTCTTAAGCTAGGCTATAGATAAGCACAACCAGGAATACAGGACAGTAAATAGTTTCCTGTGAGATGAAATCAGGTTTCAGTTCCCGGTGACTTCGGGTCAGGTTTTATTTATTTATTTTATTTAACTTTATTTATTCATTTATTTATTTCAATTTGACCAGAGAGGGGGAGAGATAAAGTTAGAAAGGAAGTTGCCAGGTCCAGAACTCAAACTGTGGTCGGTCATGGGGGAGCCCAGGACCCTTAACCACCACACCACCTGCTGGCCCCACTATAGGTCAGGTTTTGTAACTAAATAACTAAAAAATTCTTCTGACTCCCACGTGGCCCACTATGGTTTGTGTCCTAGACCTGGTGGCTTACTTTCTCACTTTCCTTTTCTCTTTCTCTGATCAAATTTTTAAAAAATCAGTAAGTGAAAAATAATTTTTTTTAGGGTCCAGCAGTTGGCATAATGTCTATGTTGCTAGACTCCCATGTAGTGAACCACGGTCCGACTCCTGGATCTGGTGGTTTAAACTCATACTGAGTGCGTGTGTGTGCAGGGCACATGTGCATGCGTGCCCAAGATCCGAAGGAGAGAATGGAGGAGAAGGGATTGTGGCGTGGCCATCCCCCCTAGGGGGTGAGTTCTTGCTGTCTCTCTCTCTTTTTCTGGCAAGTGCACATGCACCCTATAGCAAAAACCCCTTCAAAAACAAAAAAAATTCTTTTTTTTATAAAAAAGAAAAAAATTCTGCTTTTCAGACCTTTTGCTGATTTTGGAATCACAGATAAGGGACTGGGGACTTGTATAGGTACTGAAAACACACAAAACTGAGCCATTACCCAATGAGATCATGCTCCTGTAATTCTCCAGCATCACATCTCTGTAGAGGTCCTTTTGAGTCCAGTCAAGGTGGCCCCACTCCTCTCTTGTAAAATACATTGCCACATCTTCAAAGGACAGAAATGCCTGAAAAATAGCCAACAGTTTTAAGTTCAATTCTTATAATAACTAACGTCATACTATTCTAAAGATAAGAAAACAGGTTTGGAGAGGTCAAGTGCCCTGCCCAAGGTCACTCAGCAAGTAGCAGATTCAGGGCTCTACCACGTCAGCTGACCCTTAGGCCAGGCATGTTTCCATACCACAGCACAGACTTCATCACTAAAGGGTCACTCGGTGCACAGTCAGCCTTTTCAGACCATTTGTTCTCTGCTCCAACTATTCGACTCTGCTGTCTTAGCACAACAGCAGCCGCAGACAATAGGTGAGCGAGTGGGTACAACTATACAGTAAATAAAACTTTACTGAACAGGTCTAGTTCAGTTTGCCAACCCCCGCTCTAGTTCACACTACCTTTATAAGTAATATACCTCTTCTGTGACAGGTTCCTAGGAGAGAGATGAGGTCACTGAGGATGGATGAATGTGCCAACTATTTACCCAGGAACAGAAAGGCTTCACGGACACCAACACCGTATACTGAAGCATGTAGGTGCTGGCTATGGTTATCATGGGGAACTGTTCCCTAACGGGTATAAGAGGTAAAGTAGGGAAGCACTGGAATCCAAAAAGCTGCTGCGAAGGGAACCAGATTGGAGCTAGGGCCTTAGAGGGTAGCCACTGCCACCCCACAGCCTGGCGGAAGGGAGCTATGGGAATAGACATGGAAACAATTTTCTCCAGGCCTCTGGTCCCCAACCCTCCTCCATCCTATTGCCAAAAGCCAACCAGAAGCCAGAGGGCAAAGGAGCCCATTGCTGGTGATAAAACGTATAGACCTGGGACTAGCAGTTGGCATAATGGCTATGTTGCTGGACTTCCATGTAGTAGACCCCGGTTCAAGTCCTGGACCTGGTGGCTTAAACTCACGCGGGGCGCATATGCATGTGTGCCCAAGATCCCAAGGGGAGAATAGAGAAGGGATGTGGCGTGGCCATACCCCCTGGGGTGTGATTTCTCACCTTCTGTCTCTTTGTCTCTCTCTGTCTTTCTGTCGAGTGCACATACCCTGTGGCAAAAATCTCTCCAAAAAATAAATAAATAAATAAGGTACAGACCAAATGCCAAAGTGCAGGAGGGTGGAGAATATACCCAGAGGGGACAGAGACTACTCAGCACAGCGTATATGAAAGAAGTTTATATTTGCACTTGTGTGTTCAAGTTTTATGGGCTGAGAATGGAGGCACCTGCCCTTAGTCAGGTGCTACAGCAGTCCTTGGAACAGAGGGGCCCAGTGTCTACCCATCCACTGCCTGCTCTTCAGGATGCTGTGCTGATCAGTGTTCATGCAGAGAAAGGACAAGCACTATCAGGACTAAGCAGTAACAGAAAACACCCATCCCATCCAGAAAAGCCTCACATAGCTCCCCCCTGCAGACAAGTCTTAGAGTCTTCCTTTCCTCTCTATCAAACTTGAGTTCCACAGTGACGATTTCAGGCCTTCTGTCATCACCACTGTGAACACCCTGCTTGTTATATGAGCTGTTCTGCAGTCTCCTTACTGGGACCTACTAGACCACCTGCATTCTCTGCACCTGCACAAAGGTTAGTAAGCAAGCACTGGGAAATAACATGCTCAATCTCTCCAGAGGACTCTCTGTACATTTATAGTTACACCCTAAATGTGTACCTTATAGTTATACCTAAATTAACGATTCTTGCTCACACATCCCTCACAGGTGGCATTCTACACGCTCATTGCTCTTGTTCCTTCTGTAAATGTTTACTGAATGGCAAGTTGCTACCTTGATCTTGCCTGCCAGTAATAAACAAAGCAACAACTCCTGCTGAGGCTACAGGATATAGCTATCAGCTGCTCAACACTATAGGACATTAATCCCATCAGAGCCATGTAAATGGGGGCCCTGGAGTTGCTAAGCAAATGACCTGTATGATCTCGTAGCATCTCTGGTTCCTGCTTTAGTTAATGAATAGCCAAGTGGGCGGGTGAGACAGAGAAGTGAGAGTGGTAAGTGGTAACATCCAGGATAATGGAGGAGAAGGGATTGTGGTGTGGCCATCCTGCTTGAGGGGTGACTTCCCACTTTTCCTCTCTCTGGCAAGCATATGCACCCTTTGGCAAAAACATATAAAGTAGAGCCTGGATCTAATCCTATCTAACTCCTTAGTTTAGGCTCTTTATATCATACTTTCCAGGAAGGGAAGTTCCTAAAATAGATAAAGAGGGCTCAGCCTGAACAAAGAAGATGTTCAGCAATAGGGGCTACAATGAGGAAGCAGAGGAGGAACCACAGCTCACCTGCCAGCTGGCTGTCAGGAACATAGCTTCCATGGCCTTGTCTTCTCTAAGGAATAGGATCTGGGCTGCCAGGCTAAACTGAAGAAAAAGATAATGAATAAGAGCAGCCCTAACTTAAAGCTTTCTCAGTAGGCAGACCTGGGACAGGGAATTCCAAGGAAGCCAACAAACAAAACTTAGTTAATACAAAGTCACTGTGTTTGGGGTTGGAATATGTGATCAAACTGATGAGCTCCGGAATTTTTTTGCTATGACTTCCTGAAGATCAATTTCAAAAGCTTTATCTAGGAAAAGCTGTGGCCCAGTCTTCCCTTTCTCCCCAGGATATGTTCTACAGCACCTCAATGAGTGACTTTATACAGCTAAATCACAGAGCAAAATATAAAAGATCTTCAAAATGTTCATAGACGATGCATTCAAGGGGCCAGCCCCATAACCTAGTGGTTAAGGGAGCAGGATCTCACATGGTGACTGCAGTTCAAATCCTGGCCCAGGTGGCTGAAAGGCATGTGGGTGCGTGTGCACACATGCCATAAATCTCAACAGGATGGAGAAATGGAGAAGAAATGGCAGGCAGTGTGATCGTGGAGTAATTTCTAGCAAGCACATGTGTTCTCAGGCAATTTAATTAAAAAAAAAAAAAAAAGGAGAATGAAGAAACGACTCAATTTCAGGGGCCAGCAGTGGTGTGGTAGTTAAGGGTGCTGGACTCTCACATGGCCAACCACTGTTTGAGTCCCAGCTTGCTTTCTCACTTTCCTCTCTCTCTTGCCCTTGCTCTCTCGCTCTGTCCCTCTTTGATCTTGCCTGCCAGTAATAAACAAAGCAACAACTCCTGCTGAGGCTACAGGATATAGCTATCAGCTGCTCAACACTATAGGACATTAATCCCATCAGAGCCATGTAAATGGGGGCCCTGGAGTTGCTAAGCAAATGACCTGTATGATCTCGTAGCATCTCTGGTTCCTGCTTTAGTTAATGAATAGCCAAGTGGGCGGGTGAGACAGAGAAGTGAGAGTGGTAAGTGGTAACATCCAGGATAATGGAGGAGAAGGGATTGTGGTGTGGCCATCCTGCTTGAGGGGTGACTTCCCACTTTTCCTCTCTCTGGCAAGCATATGCACCCTTTGGCAAAAACATATAAAGTAGAGCCTGGATCTAATCCTATCTAACTCCTTAGTTTAGGCTCTTTATATCATACTTTCCAGGAAGGGAAGTTCCTAAAATAGATAAAGAGGGCTCAGCCTGAACAAAGAAGATGTTCAGCAATAGGGGCTACAATGAGGAAGCAGAGGAGGAACCACAGCTCACCTGCCAGCTGGCTGTCAGGAACATAGCTTCCATGGCCTTGTCTTCTCTAAGGAATAGGATCTGGGCTGCCAGGCTAAACTGAAGAAAAAGATAATGAATAAGAGCAGCCCTAACTTAAAGCTTTCTCAGTAGGCAGACCTGGGACAGGGAATTCCAAGGAAGCCAACAAACAAAACTTAGTTAATACAAAGTCACTGTGTTTGGGGTTGGAATATGTGATCAAACTGATGAGCTCCGGAATTTTTTTGCTATGACTTCCTGAAGATCAATTTCAAAAGCTTTATCTAGGAAAAGCTGTGGCCCAGTCTTCCCTTTCTCCCCAGGATATGTTCTACAGCACCTCAATGAGTGACTTTATACAGCTAAATCACAGAGCAAAATATAAAAGATCTTCAAAATGTTCATAGACGATGCATTCAAGGGGCCAGCCCCATAACCTAGTGGTTAAGGGAGCAGGATCTCACATGGTGACTGCAGTTCAAATCCTGGCCCAGGTGGCTGAAAGGCATGTGGGTGCGTGTGCACACATGCCATAAATCTCAACAGGATGGAGAAATGGAGAAGAAATGGCAGGCAGTGTGATCGTGGAGTAATTTCTAGCAAGCACATGTGTTCTCAGGCAATTTAATTAAAAAAAAAAAAAAAAGGAGAATGAAGAAACGACTCAATTTCAGGGGCCAGCAGTGGTGTGGTAGTTAAGGGTGCTGGACTCTCACATGGCCAACCACTGTTTGAGTCCCAGCTTGCTTTCTCACTTTCCTCTCTCTCTTGCCCTTGCTCTCTCGCTCTGTCCCTCTCTGGTCAAAATTAAAATAAATAAAGTTAAATTAAAAATTCTTAAAAAAAAAAAAACTACTCAATTCCTTTATTTTTGGGGGACAAAAAATAAATTTGTACTTTAATTCCATTTTTTGATGACCTTTTTGAAGTATCCTTGTAAAACTCTGATTCACGACTTGCAACACCTAGCTCAGAGACAAAACCATAACCTCTGCAATCATCAGCCCAAACCAGAACATGATCAGATTTTGGCCTCCTATTGCCTTCAATTAGTTCAAACAGGAGAAAATCAAATATGTTGTTCTTTTCTAAAATAATGTATTTAATTTTATGTATTATTTTTAAATTTGACCAGAGAGAGACAGAGAGGGAAAGAACTGAAAAGTGAGAAAGCAAGCTACCAGGTCTGGGGCTCGACCCATAGTCAGCCATGTTGGAGTCCAGTGCCCCAACCACCATGCCATCTGCTGGCCCGCTGTCCTTTTTTAAAAAAAATCCATGAAAACTATTTGAAACAAAAACTATTGGTTACAGGGACTTCCGGTTGGAGTTGGCCATTACTTCTCACTAGCTCTAGCTGTTGCTGAGATGTCTCCATAGAGGCAGCATTTCTGAAATTCTTGAAATTTTTCAGTTTCAGAGTCTTAGTAAATGGTTCTTATCTTAGGCCTGCCCATTTACAAGCTAACTTTTGTGTTTTGAGGTCTCACAACCACTCTAATTTGGTGATAGGCTAGAACTCACAGCAGTAACAATAGCAGACTTGTTTTCTTCACAGGGTGCACCTTTATGTAAATTTATTTAAAGAAAGCCCCTCATGGGCAAGTCAATGGCATGGTGGTTAAGGAGGTTGGATCCCACATAGCTGACTGCTCAACTGGAGCCCTGACCAAGCCACTTGAAGAACATGCTGGGCACATGTATGTGCATGCATGCCCAAAATCCCTAAGGGAGAATGCAGGAAAAGGGTGGCCATCTCCCCACCACAGGTGCTTTCTTACTTTCTTTCTCCCCCTCCCCCTAGAAAGGGCACACCTTATAGCAAATTAAAAACAAAACAGTAATAGAAAGAAAGCCACTTTGGGCCAGCAGGTGGTGTGGAAGGTTAAGGCACTGGATCCTACTCAGATTGCAAGGTTCAGGTCCCAAACCAGGCGGCTTGAAAAATCACACTGGCCAGGCTGTTATGGGAGCATGCTCCAAATCTTGAGAGGAGACTGGAGAAGGGATTGTGGCATGGCCATCCCCAGGTAGTGGGTGATTGCTCACTTTACCTTTCTCTCTCTCCCTCCCTCTGTTTCTCCCTGACAGGCACAAATGCCCATAGCAAAAAGAAGATGAAGAAGAAGAAGAAGAAGTTCAATTTCCCTGAAAAGTCTAGAAAACTCCTTGCCTGTTAAACAAAGAGGCACAACAAAAAAACAGTCCTGATCAATGGCTCCAAGTGGGGGCAGAGGCTTCATCCCTTTCATTCTTGCAACTATTGAATATTTACTGAGTTACCTATTGTAAAGGTTATTCATATAAAACTCAGACTTCTAAAGAAAAATGTGAGCTGTTTTGAGTGGCCGTAGCTATATAACTGAATCTTAAAATATCCTGCTTCCCCAGAAATGCTAGCTCTAACTATGAGTGAAAGTTCAGGTTTTTCTTTCTCGGCGTGAAACTGAACCAATCAGCTACAGGGGAAGAGCTCCTACGGCTCTACCTGCCCTAAAAAGAATAAGTTTTTAGTAGCCAATACAGTAAAGATCACTGGGTTTCCACACTTACGCTTTATAAGCTGATCCTCTGTGTGCATGATAAACTCTTAAAACTTTAATGTGATCTCATCTTAACCTCAGTCAGAATATAAAATGCTACTGCCTGACAATGTGAATACATTAAACTAATCACACCTTGTTTTCCCCTAAAACCATGGTATTACCCAGTCATTCATTCATCGGACTTTGTTCCTTCAAGAGGCTGAAGACCTGAAACAGCCCAAACTATCCAAAAAGCTGGTGCCACAAACCCAAAGATCCTTGCAAATGCAAGATTATTTGCAAATGCAAATACAACCTCCCTAAGGGCCCCAACTTTAACACACTGGCTTTCCCGGAGCAACCACTCCTATATTCATAATAGTTTCTCTTTTTTTCCAAACCTGTTCAAATCGCAGCCGCGGTGCCTCCTCCAGGAAGTCCTCCGCGTGGCGCTTTGTATGCACCAGAGACAGCAGTGGAGGTGTGGCTCCCTTTGCGGGTTTCCGGTACTGACCAGGGGTATAGTCGGCGCCGCCTTCGGGGCTACCGCTAACCCCAACCAACCCAAGTCAGTGGGAAGGGCGGCCAGCCTCTGCCTCAGGGGCTTCCAACGAGTTTTCCTCCCTCCCTATTCGCGAGCGACGACCAGAGCGTCCTCATTCGCGTCTCCTCTAGGACTAAGGAGGCTTCTAAACTCTATGGTTGGGCTGAGCTTGTTGGCCGGGTCTTCACGCACACTCCTCCGCTGGTGGGGACCAATCGCAGGCCGCGGGAGGCGCCGGCTAGACCGCGGGAGTTCCACCCGCCGTCGCTGACTTCTCGCAGGTGGTTTTCAGCTACAGAGAATAGCTGCGCAGCTTTTAAAAATGGTAATAGTGACCTTTCCCCTCCAACCTAGTCGACAGAAAGCCTAGTGGTAGGGACCACAATGCAGCTGAGTAATGTTTTTCTTTGGGAGAGGTTTTTGCTATAGGGCTCCTGCGCTCACCAGAAAGAGAGACAGAGAGACAGAAAGCGAGAAATCACCCCCACACAGCAGTCCTTTCTCTGTCATTCTCCCCTTGGGATCTTGGGCACGCATGCACAAGCGTCCCGCGTGAGTTTAAGCCACCAGGTCCAGGACTGGAACCGGTGTCCACTACATGGGAGTCCAGTGATGCAGCCTTTACACCATCTGCTGGACTCGCAGCTGAATATTTTTAAAAGCTTCTCTTAGCAAAACTATGGAGTGACTGACTCTTTGAGAGGTGGTTCCTTAACATATTCTTAAGAATTATTTTATTGGGAACCAGCAGTTAGCCTAATGGCTATGTTGCTGGACTCCCACGTAGTTGACCACAGTTCGAGTCCCAGACCCGGTGGCTTAAAACTCACGCCGGGCGGGTGTGCGTGCGTGCCCAAGATCCCGAGAGGAGAATGGAGGAGAAGGGATTGCGGCGTGACCATCCCCCTTGGGGGGTGATTTCTCGCTTTCTGTCTTTCTGTCTCTCTCTCTGCCTGGCACGCACACGCGCCCTATAGCAAAAACCTCTCCAAAAAAAAAAAAAAAGAATTATTTTATTTAACTTTATTTATTATTTTAATTTGACCAGAGAGACAGAGAGGAAGCCACCAGGTCTGCCATGCAAATCGCAGTCAGCCATGAGTCCAGCGCTCTCAACCACCACCACCTGCCCACCTTCTTTTTAAATTTTATTTATTAGTATTATTTTTTAATTTGACCAGAGAGAGAGGAAATGTTAGAACACAAACAGCCAGGTCCCAGAAGCAAACCACAGCCAACCATGTGGAAATCCAGTGTATTAAGCACCATGCAACCTGCCAGTCCCCAAAATAAGTTCTTATATGAAAAGTTATTTCTGTTACATGAATGCTATTAAGCAAAACAGCAATAGAACTATTTAACAGTAAAAAGTTATAATTAGTAGCAGAACTAACTAAAGAATTAATATATTTGAGGGCTAGCAACAGTGACCCATAGTAAGGCAAAGCCACTGCTATGCTGGGTGCCCATGGAAGGGTACTGAGTGTGTGCAGGTGATCCCAACTGAGACTGGAGGTGGGCCTGGGGTGAAGATCTTCTTTTAAGGTGGGGAGTGTCATTGTCTCTCAAGAAATAAGCCTAAAAAATGAAATATATGTGAGAAAAATGTAATAGTTACATTTCTTTCTACACATCAATTGAGCAACTTATTTTAACACTTAAGAAACTTTATTGGAGTGTGGTGGCTAAGGCTGCTGGATACCATATGGCCAATTGCCCAGTTCAAGTCCCGTACCCAGCAGCTTGAAAAACTTGGCTAGGTAGTGGGCCAGCCAGGTGGCTAGTGGTTAAGGCAGCTGGAGCCCACTGCACTATTAGAACCCTGGCCCCAGATGAGCCAGTGAAAAAAACATGTTGGCCTCATGTGCATTCTCCTAGAGAAGAATGGAGAAACAGCATTTTGGAATGGCCATTGCCCCCTTTCTCACTTTCCCTCTCTCTCTCCTTGTCTCCAGCTAGTGCATGTGCCCTATAACAAATTAATACAATTTTTTTTTAATTTTAAAGCTTTATTGGATAGTTAAATTTTGTATGCTTTTTTGTGTATTTTTTAAAGAATTATTTATTAACTTTATTTAGTCATTCATTTCTTATTTTGACCAGAGAAAGACAGGCACACAGATAGAAGGAAAGTGAGAAAGCAAGTCACAGGTCCAGGGACTTGACCCATGTGAGAGTCCAGCACCTTAACCACCATGCCACCTGCTGGTCCCTCTCTTTTTTTTTTTTTTTTTTTTTAATATATTTTCCCCTTCATTGGGGAAACATTTTTACTCTTTCCAATGATAATTCTCTGAACTACCTAGAAACCTTTAGGACATCCTTCTTTACTTGGGTAGTGTTAAAAACTGAATACCAGCAAAAGAAAAACTCACTTTGACTTGAAGCTCTTTTCTTACTGGGGCCAGATTATGCTGATTCCTGGTGTCAGTCTTATGTGATAGATAATATGTTGTTGCTATTGAATATCTAGAAGTACCATTTCTTTCTCATTCTTTTCTTTCTTTTTTTAAAGAGTTTTTTTATTTATTCATTCTTTTCTTTTTTTTTTTTTTTTAATTTGACCAGAGGGAGACAGAGAGAGAGAGAGAGAGAGAAAGAGAGAAAGCAAACCACCAGGTTCAGGACTTGAACTGTGGTCAGTCATGTGGGAGTCCAGCACCTTAACCACCATGCCACCTGCTGGTCCCTCTCATTTTTTCTTATACATTGTCCCCTGCATTGTGTTTATGTTTTCTTTTAGGTCCTTGAGCATATTTAAATAGTTGTTTTAAAGTCTTTCTGTACTAATTGCATGTTTTTTGTCAATTCTGGATCTGTTTCTGTTGACTATTTTGTTAGTTTGGGTTACATTTCCTTTTTTATGTATCTTTCATTTTTTTAATGCATGCCTAACATGATAAATTTTAGGGCCGGCCCCCCTCCGGGGGCCCCGCGGCTGGGGGCTTACGCCCCTGCGCAGCCGCGCGCCTGGCCTCTCTGGAGCTGGATGGCCCGGAGGTCGAAAACAAGGTTGAAGAACTTGCAACTTGAGAAGATGATAGTTACCAGCCCTGCATTACCTCAGGGGAAAACAAGAACTACTCTGCCATTCTTAAGGAAGCCAGATACCCAAGGACAACTCACACTGCAGATCCCCACAACACCATTCCTGGTAACTACAAGATGACTGCTGTGCCGCATCAGCTGATAATCATCCCTGCGTACCAGAACTGCTTTCCTGAAACTGCATTCCCTGGAGACTCACCTACACTTGCGGATCTGCAGGAGACCCTCCCTTAATCCAACCCTGAGTGGAGTTTATGCTCCCTATTGCCAAAAACTTTATGAGCTGATGGTTGGAACTCGTGGCCTCTCTCCCTTTACTTGTATGTATCACTTTTTCAGTAACTCTTCTGGAAGACAACTGTATATAGCAGGGATATTGTAATGGGAGAGTGAGACAGGGCAGAGGGACAAACATAGGAAAAAAAAT